CTTTATCGAGCTTTTGCTCTGTTGCACTTCACAGATATTGTGGTTTTTACAAATTGGAAGTTTAATGCGGCAATCCCATGTGAAGCAAGTCTATCAGCGCCATTTTTCCAATAGTATTTGCTCACTTCGTGTCTCTGTGTCACATTTTGGTAATTCTTGTAATACTGCAAACTTTTTCATTAGTATTATATTTGTTATGGTGATCTGTGATTAGTGAGCTTTAATGCTACTACTGCAAAAAGACTGCAACTCACTGAAGGCTCAGATGATGGTTAGTATTTTTTTAATAATGAAGTATTTTTAAATTAAGGTATGTACAGTGTTTTTTTAGACATGATATTGTACACTTACAAGACTACAGTATAGTGTGAACAGAACTTTTACATGCACTGAGAAACCAAAACCTTCATGTGACTCACTTTATGGTGACCCCCACTTCGTTGCGGTGGTCTGGAACTGAACCTGCAGTATCTCAGTTACGCCTGTACTGATACACACGACAACATGGTTGAGCCTTAAAAGCATTACGCTCAGTCAAAGAAGTCAGACATAAAAGACCACAAATGGTATGATTTCATTTATATAAAATATCCAGAATGGGCAAATTATCTACAGAGATAGAAAGTAGATTTAGTGGTTGCCTGGAAACTGGGGAGAGAAGGGAACAGAGAGGGACTGCTAGCGGGCTTCCTTTTAGGGTGATAAAATGTTCTAAAACTAACTGTAGTTGTGGTTGCACAATTCGGTGAATATAATCAATTCTGTCAAATTGTACACTTTAAATAAGTAAATTACATAGGCTGTGGATTGTATCTCAATAAATCTCTTAAATAAGGAAATCCGCGAAGTTCCTCCTGTCCGTCTTGGGTATTTATTATTGTTGTTCTTGTTCATCTCTTAGTTGATAAATACTTTCTGAAATCATCACTCATAATGAGAATGGCTTTTCATTTTAAGAATAGAATCATCCTTTTCCTGCTACCTACATAAAATGACAAAACATGGTTTCCAACTTAACATGACTTCAGATAATGAAAATTAACAGCATCTCTTTTTTAGAGAGCCAGCACAGAGCAGAGAATCTTGCCAAGGACTCGTCTTAATTAAATCCAGAAACCATCAGGACAGAAATCAGGAGGAGGAGGGCTGTGGGGACTGAAGAGCTTTCTCATGACTGTGGTGGTTCTTTTGCATATAAAGAAATGTTTAGAATGTCCTCCACACAGCTGCAAAGTATTAAGAACACTGTAAACACTTACAAGGTAAGCTTCACCATATACACTCCTGACAGAAATGGAGAGGCAGGGCCGGCGGCCAGTGGGTGGGTCCTTACAGTGGTATAATTTGGGAGGTGCAGGTGCCTGTCCCTTAAAATGTCACCCTGGGGTCTGTCGGACAGTGCCTGCAATGTCCATCACTGAAGTCAGCCCTGTGCCTCTGAACGGTCCTTGTTAAGATGAAAAAGTACTGCCTCATAGGGACAGCACAATAAAATCTCAGAAAACATCAGCATATAATTTTCTCTGTTGTGTGCCCTGTGTCCCGATCCTTTCACACAAACCCACCTGAGCACCACACTGCGT